AAAAAAACTTTTATCCAATCAAACCCCCGCTCTTCTCTCTTCTTCTCTTCATTTCCAATAGAAGCCATGGATAGGCTTCTATCCTCTTCCCCTCTTCACTCCAATCTCAAGCCTTTCACCCGATTTCACTCCCCAAGTTTCAATCTTTTCCCCCTGACACGTTCTTCCTTCACCTCAATTTCTTCCAAGCATGAAAACCCGCCTCCATTATCGTCTTCCCTTTCCTTTTCCGCCTCTTCCACGCCACCCAAAACCCTACCTTCCCTTTCCTCCCCTCAACTTATTCATTCTAACACCTCAATACCCAAATCCCAACCCCTCAATCAGATCACTTCCGAGAATCTCCAAAAGCCAAAGGTACGTGCGTTATGTTATTATGCCTTAGATCTTGTGTGCGTTTCATGATGTTTACATCCAAAAGCATGTTCATTTTGAACTTTGAAGACAGTGATTTTCTATACCATAAAAAAGTATCTTCTTGAATATCCTCCTCGTGATTTTAATCAGAAGCATTTATACCCTTGTTGTCATTGGTTTTGGGGGAATCCGTGTAATTTTTTGGTATTATGCTAAGTATGTAAAAAATTCTATTAATGTGGTTTATTCTGTACTCTTTTTCTTTTTTTTTAAAGAAAGGGGATAATTTAATCGTTTAATAAAAATGCATTTGAAGTTGGGACCTTACCAACAAATGGGGATTTGTTAATTGTTATGTATGCACAAATCTTTATAACCTGAACGGACCCTTTCACCTAATCTGTATGTTGAAAAACTTTAAACTTACGTGTTACTTTCTTATGTACTATATTTTTATATTTATATATGGCATTTCTGTTTTTGATACTTCTTTAATATACTTCTCTGTTTTGGTAATGCTGTTCGATGCTGGCCTTGAATTGAATCATAACCAAACTCAGTTTTTTAATCACGTGCTTTTGTAAGTAAATCATGATCATTAACATACTTGTTGAATCGGGTGCAACTGAGTTGAAACTCGGATAAACATGGACTGTTTGGCTAGAAGGTTACATTGTTGAAGTTGGTAAGTTTGACGTAGCCGTTTGTTGTTGTTAATATTCATGAATTGTGATACATTTTGGTTACAAGTATTATTTTTTTGGCCGAAGGTTACAACTTAAAAGGGTTTATATTTTTTTTTTATCATTGAGAAAAAATACAAGATAAATTAAGGTCTAACAAAAATTACACCTATGGTATCAGCCTAAGCAATAAAACTTAAGTCTGGATTACAAATCTCTCATGTTATAAAAAGATTTAAACCTTGTTTAGCCAACCAATCTACACATTGGTTTCCCTTACGAAAGAGGAAGGATTCACTTACCCTTAAAGTAAGTCTATCTCTAATTCAAATTTTATATCAAAGTTCAACGATCCAACTGTTAAATTAAAAATTCTTATTAATGTGTAGATAAAATTTACCAATTTTTAAAAAATTTGAAAACCTTGTAATACTTCTTTATATAGATTCAAATCAAGGTATAAAATATTTTTATGTTTATCCGTTAATTTGAATTAATGGAACGAAGTATCATATAATTTTTAAAATTTTTAAAAATTGGCAGACTTAATCTATATATTAAAAACTTTGATTTAACGGCTGGTTATTTGAAATTTAATGTAAAATTTGAGTTATTGAATGGAATAAGTCTATTAAGACCTACTCTTGGAGTGGGTGGATCCCTCCTTTCTTTCTCTTTCTCTCTCTATATCAGTCAAAATTTGTTGACACATTATTTTATTTTAATGTATAATATGATATTTAAAATGTGTAAATATCCATTTTTTGATAATATATATAGAAAAGTCCAAATCATGTGAAATTTAATATACATGATCTTAAATATAATATCATGTAATTTAGTGGATGAATTAATTAAATTTGCACTATACAAAATGTTATTGAAAGTATAAGATTTTATGTAAGTTTTTAGATTTACACATGGTGTCAATGGATCCTGATTATATATATATATTAAGTCAATGCACCCAGTTATTGCCTTTTAGAATTTAGATGTTTGAACATTCTAGTAAAGCTTAAAAAATCATCATTTCTTTTTTTTTTTTTCTCAGGCATTAACAGCTCGGACATTTGCGATACTCTCTGCTCTTGTTTTGCTCTTAGTCCAGCCAGCTTTTACACCGGCAGCTTTTGCAACGTTTCAAAATGCTGCCAAGACTGGTGGCCCTGCCGCTGCTGCAGTTGGTGGAAAACTAATTCGCACTGAGCTTCTAAGCAGTGCTTGGACTGGTTTCTTTGCAGGTTGCTTGCACACACTATCAGGACCCGACCACCTTGCAGCTTTGGCTCCATTGTCAATTGGCCGAACCCGAATGGAGAGTGCTGCAGTTGGAGCCCTTTGGGGTTGTGGCCATGATGCTGGTCAAGTTATCTTTGGCTTGATATTTTTGCTCCTAAAAGATCGACTTCACATTGAAGTTATCCGAACCTGGGGCACCCGTGTGGTTGGCCTTACCCTGCTAGTAATTGGTGCAATGGGAATTAAGGAAGCTTCAGAAGTGCCTACCCCGTGTGTTGCCTTAGAAAACGGTGAATGTGATGTCAGTGTCTATGAATCACCTGATAGTAAACCTGTAGTAGGAAAGAAGAAGATTGGTTTTGCTACTTTTGCCACTGGAATAGTTCATGGACTGCAACCGGACGCATTGATGATGGTGTTGCCTGCCCTTGCTCTACCTTCACGCATTGCTGGTGCCGCATTTCTCATCATGTTCTTACTTGGAACTGTTGTTGCAATGGGGAGCTACACAGTATTTATTGGTTCATGTAGCGAGGCACTAAAGGATAGAGTACCTAGAATAACTGAGAAACTCACTTGGGCTTCTTCTCTTGTTGCAATAGCCCTCGGATTTGCCATCATTGTTAGCCAGTTTTTTGGGTTTAGCCTGTATTAGTTATCAGCCAGGAACCTTTTTTATGAACATCGTTTTGGTGTCCAGAAATAGTAGGGACGTTAGAGAAAAATTTGATTGTTTGGAGCAAGCTCATTATTTATGCAACATGTGGTTTTCATTGTCTATTATTTGACTATGTTTGTGAATGTGTATATATCTGGCAGGTTCAATTATTCTGCAGCTGTTTCGTTTTAAGTTTTCGATTGGTTTTACCAGTATTCTGTTCATGTAATTGTATTATGCTTTTGGAATTCTCATGCAGTAGTAATATGTTACTGAATTGTTATGAATGTTTCATAAAGTTGCATTTGAGCGTCATTTCCACTTTCCCTGTTTACTGTTTAGGGTTGCATGTGTTCCTCTATTTCTCTCTCTTGGTAATTAAGTGGTCTTTTTGTTGTTTCCCTGTCATCACCCAACTTGTTTTGTTCCATTGCAAGTCGGCAAATCAAGACATTTTTCATACACTAATATTATTGCATCGTATCGCTCTTCCACGGGTTTTCTTGTAAAAGATGAACTGGAATTGGAAACCCGTATATTCATGTTTCCATTAAGTGTACCTGATCAAGCGCAGGGTAGCCAGAAGGCAGCGTATACAGGGACTGAGGGACATGTATGCACACCTTCTAGGGATGGCCTTTGTTCATTTATTTTCACGTGTTTGCTTTTACCTTATTACATGTTTAGTATCGATAAAACCTGAAGAAAGAATTGCTTGTGAAAATATAGTTATTTCTTTTAAAAAATAAGTAATGCACTTGAACTTAAATCAGATTAATCTCTTGTATCTAAAACCGTCATGAGAAGTGCTAGTAACTGACTAGATTAAAATAATTCTTTATTATTAGATAACATTCATATTATACTCGTTAAATGATGTTGGATTTCATTTACTAATTAATAAATCTCACACAATCACCTGAGTTGAAAACTATTATTTCTTTATAGATAATTATGGTTATTTCTATAAAGATATTCTCCCTAATGCATCGCTGTGTTAAGAGTATAATTAGCATCCGAAGCATCCATGGTTATCAAGAACAAGGGTACCAAGAACAAGAACAGAGAACCCGCTGTAATACCATAATAGAAACTTGAATTGTTTTTATTTTTCTTAATTCGGAAGAGTACAACAGAAATTTGACACCTAAGCACTCTAATAATATAACCACAACTATACTAAAAAATATTAAGGGCATGTGTGGATAAAATTGTTTAAAAACATTTCTAAGAGAACAGAATTAAAAAAAATGAAATAAACTTTATAAGATAAACTTAATTTATGTGTAAACTAATTTGTAGATTTTTTTAATTAATTTTTTCAAAATTCTATTTTTAACTCATGTATATATTAATTTTAGTTTATAGAGAAACTCGTTAATTTTTCTTTTTATTTTTCTCTCCAAAAAATGCTTATTGATAAACTTATATAAACATGTCCTCAACTAGTCGCAATTGAACCAAAATAAAAGGCATTCTAATAAACTTATAAAAACAGTAACTAATAAAGAAACAAATTTGTAGCCGAAGAGTAGCATTCAACGATGCATGTAACAAACAAAATGCTGGTCACCATAAAGAAATAGGTAGCAGTAGGTATCACCCGTTACCCAATTACAACCCAAAAAATTTGTACTTGTTCTTTTGCTCAAGTAATGTCCAACCCAAACTAGCAAACTAATCTATCAATACCAATTCAGGGAACAAGATTCGCAATGACATCTATCTTCAATGGTACCGGAAATTAGCAAAATATATTGGAACATATGACGTGACATTGTTAATTCATACATCAATCGCATGCGCACACAAGTAGAACAATATCTTGGGAGTTTTATATGAAATGATGCACGATATGAATGAATGGTTCAGCTGTCATAAAGTTGTTTATACACCCCCACGTCATCCAACCCAAGAGACAGAATATAAGTTCACAATCAGCCAATCCTATTCCCATAAAGGGATTTGGAATTTCAGAACCGAATAAATTTCTAGTAGCGACATAGCGTGATTAACAGCGAGTAAACTAAAAAACACTGAACCTTGTAATACAGAATGAATCTTTTTGCTACATGGAAAGGTAGATTCTTTAGTTCAGTATGTTCTGTTTCTCTCATTAGAAATGATAGAAAACTAAACAATTCAAGTTCAACTGCCATGTAGGATAATTCGTATTAATGTTTGAGCGCAAAACTTGGTACTGAAAGACAACAGCAAGGGATTCTGGTCGTGAAAGAAACATCAGTGGTTATGTTTTTTGTCGATGTCATAAAGCACACACACATCTGCTGCCGTCTTCATCTGAATCACAAGGGCATTAGAGCAGATTAAAATGCAGGATTCAAATTCATGAACAACTAAATAATAATAAAAAAAACGTCAGATAAATATATGAAGAATCAGTTCGTATTCCAAGACACTCTTTATATAGCAAAAATGTAAAGAAAATTGTTTTCAATTATCACAATATGAAGTTAATGAGCCATGCTAAAGAATTAATATTAATACATTCAAACTCAAGCAAGAGTGCATTGAGGCACCACAGAACCTGGTAATACAATCTTAATCAACATTTTAACTGTCTAACACAATCCTAGACATAAGTTGAAGGTTTCTGCAAATTGAACTAATGTCACCATTTGCAGTAGAATATATTTTTTAAAACCGTAGTCAGTAAAATACAGTGTGCGAAGTTTCGTGCCGACTTACTACACAAAAATATGTTTACACATGAACTTCTTTTTGGAAAAAAAAAAAAAAGGTTGACATGTGAAATGTGATAATTAAACCGAAAGGAAAACTAGAATGCACAGGCTTTTGAAGATTCCAAATTTTGTACTGCTGTGATACTTGCAGGATGAATATTCCAAATAAAAAATAAAAAAAAGGTAACACATCAGTATGTCTCTGAACTTTTGGGAATTTTTAATTAAGTCCATAAACTAAATTTGTAATTAAGTCCCTGAAGTAAAAAAATAAAAGCCACAAATTATTATTTTTCAGACAGTTTCAAGCCATCATAAATTAAATTCAGGGACTCAATTACAAAAATTGTAAAAGATCAAGGACTACAATTTTTTAAAGTTTAGGGACCTAATTAAAAATTTACAAAAAGTTCAGGAACCTTTCGATGAATTTAACAAAAAAAAATATTTAGTGCCAGTGTGCCACTCTATTTTCTTTGGACTTGGGATTTTCTTTTCTTATTTGATGTGTTGCTTCTTTTTAATTTCTTTTTTCATCCCCATTTTTTCATTAAGGAGTGGGTTGGTCAAAATCTAGATATATACAGCACCTCATCATCAAAAAAATCCAGAATAAATATATCATGTACGAACCTGAATAAAATTTATAATTTGCTTGACTGCCCATCCAAATATACTAGTACCCATTAGGAGAGAGAGAAATGATATCTTTTGCAAATTACTTGATATAACCTGAAAATAGAAACAATTGAGAAACTATGATGATCACAGCAAATGAAACATCTTAGATAATCTAACAGCAGTAGGGAGCACTTACATCCAGCAATTTCTCTGATTGATTCTCCGAAAGATAAAACAGGATTAGGTAAAGAACCTATAGAATATAAAGGATAAGAATCCTCCCCAAAATAAGCTATTTATTGAAGTCTTTTCACCAAAGATCAAGAAGATTCATCACACTTACCTCACATGAAACACAACAGTAAGCCATAAACATCCTATTTCCATAGTATGCCCTGAAAAGCCAGCTGCTGCTGTCTTTTACATCTTTATGACTAGCCTTGCCCGTCAAGAAAGTGCTGCGTTTAATGAAAATAAATCCAAATATGAACTCTACATAAAGACTAAACCCGGTAACTGAAGACATACGATCAGAATTAGAGGAGAAAAAAACACAGTTGACATACATTACCTGTACATTTGCAGCCAGTGGCTGGCAATATCTAAAGCAAGCAATGACAAGAAGATAAGGCCAGGCCTTTACACAAGTTCAACCCAAAAGTCAGGTGTAAATGCTAATAATTACAGAGACTGATGAACAGCTTGAAAGGAAAAATATCTTACTTGTATAGTTGGGAAAGAACAACAAGTAGACAAGCAGTGCTAATTCTGGTATAAAGGAAGCCAAGTTAATTCAAAGCACACAAGAATTGAACACCAAAAAGAAGTTATAACAGCATCAATCATCACATTTCTTTGGTCTGCATACAGAGAGAGAGAGAGCAGAGAATAAACCTGTCTGTTACCATGTCCAGTACAGCTCCAAAGGTTGACACTGAATCAAGAAAATAACAATATAAAATAAATAAAAAATGCTAGATTAATTTATTTAATTATTATACAGAATAATTTTCTTTGCAAAGAAATAAATAATTAGGGAGATGGGTAATTATCCCTATTACACATTTAGGTCATGCTACACGCTTGGCTTTTAGATGTACTGACACATCACATACCAATGAAAGACTACCAGCAGGATTTGAACCCAAGGCCTTTTCGCAAACAATGGCTGATCATACCAATTAAGCCAACCCTCATAAGCATATATGCCATATTATACCTCTATTTTCTAGTTTAATACTTGATTATGGCCTACCAAGTGTTTTATTAAAAAATGTGAAAGTCAAACAGTCAGCAGAATAGAATTATGGTAACAAAGAAAAACATCCTTAACCTGAGCAGTTAGCACATGATGAGTCCACATTTGGTCGACTCTTTAGATTTTCATCATTTGGCACTAAAATAACCTTAGTTAAGTGAAAAGTGGAAAAATACGTTATTTGGAATGAACCTTATCATTGTGTGAAAATTATTATCACCTCAAATTTATACTGTAAATGTGTGTCTCAAATAAATATCTAAGTAAATTATAGCTGTTATATATTTGACATTCCTTCAGTTTCATACTGATTTTCCGGATTTAAAGTTCCAGATGATTTTGAAGGATTAATCGGTAAAGGAGTCAACAAAAAACCAAGCTGTACCTGTTCTCACAAAAAAGAAGGAAGCTAATGCTACCAAAAAATAAAAAGTAACACAGATCATACTCATAATGCTCTAAACCACAAGTAGTCAAAACATAGCTATCCCCAAGTTTATCAACCAAGCAAGAAGATTAGTGTGATGTATGCAAATGCAACGGCATCCATTGTGGACATAGATAAATTGTGAGCAAGGATTTTCTTAGTTGAGCATTGACATTATTTATGATTCAATAGGAAAATCGTGACAGATAAATAAACATGTTGTGATCTGACATCAATAAATAAGTTTATACCTTGATTGAATTTGCGGGCACACCAGCCATCAACAGCATCACATACAAAGCTGACAACACAAATTCAGCCAAATTACGTTCCATATCCCAAAAATATTAATGATGAAAAAGCTCAATACCAGAGATAGTCAATGAAATTGTATCCCACCTTAAAAAATAGAGAAAGGAGAATAAGATTTTGTTTGTTAAACATTGGGAGAAGGCAAAACAGTTTAAGAGAACCCGGATGTATCCTGCATCACCATGGACATGGTCACGAGTTAAGACAGTGCATTGATGGAGAACTAAGAGCAAAAAGATGAGTACTATTAAAGCACCCCATTGTTTCTACAATATGTAAGTACACACGAGAGAAATAAAGCAAAATATCCAGCAGTATAATTAAATACCCACCAATTATATTAGGAATGTAAAGGTACACAGATAATTTACTGGATCTTTGTCTTGGTTTCTTGGCCATTGAAGCTTCTCTGTATTCTAAAACTTGACTAATAAGTATAGGATTGCCAATCAAATATTCTCCTGCATACATAGTTTCCAGTAAGAAATCCAAATCTATAAAGACACGTACTCACATAGATACTCCCATTACTCCATGTCACGCACATATAACCATAACATGCAGTAAGTCGCATTCATCTACCTAACTATTAATCCATCAAGATACACAAAATAATAAAAGCGAACTTCATTAGTATACATTCTTCTACAGAAATATGAATTCCCCTCTCCACACAGCAGTTTCTGGAAATGTAACCTGACTATTAGCTCAACCTATTTTTAATGTTGTGAAATCACTTAGCGAAAGTCAAATCACAAATGCATGCCAAATCTAGAAGTCGCGAAATTGAGAATTCATTGCAGCCCTAGCTGGCTAGCTGAACGGACGCGGAAACAGTTGTTTCGCGAATTCCGAAGCGAGAAGACGTTCCATGGGAACGGAATCTTCGAAGGCACGAGGCAGGGGAGTGTACTTATACGGATTATTTTATTGGAGGAATCGAAAACCACTTGCAGTTGCAGGTTGGGTTACAAGGGAGAGAAATAGAAAGGAATGAAGAAGAGAGAGAATTATACGATACCGGCGGCGAAGAGAGTGCGGAGGATTCCGGCGACGGAAGTGGCGGTTGCGACGACGGATAGCAGGGAACAACTTGAGGTGGCACTGCTTGGTTTATTTTGAGCGACAGCTACTTTCTCCTTTTTCTTTTTCTTTATAATTTTTTATTTATTTATTCTTTATGTGATTCTTCTCCCACTTCAGAAGCTTTCCATTTTTTTTTTAAAATTCAGCATGTGATCTATTTAAATATTATTATTATTATTTGTGTGATTACCAGAATCTTATAAGAATTTAATATTAATAATTATTCCTTTTCTCTATTATTAAAAAAATCACACATAATAAATAAATTATATATATGATCAAACAGTTTGACATCAAATACTAGTGGTGATTGGTGATTTGTTTATTTCTTAATTACTCTCTTAATTTTCTTCTCATATTCTTGAATTATCTATATAAAGGGAAAAGAAGTTTGAGGCCACGATTCTTGTTTTATTTTTTATTTTATTCATTTATTGTGATTAGTATTGATGTTGGCCCAAAGACAATGAAAAAGACTATAAGGAAAAGATAGAATGTGGGGTGTAAGTATAGAGAAAGCGTGTTGGGCTGCTAAGACAAAAATGAGAGAGATGGAAGCAATTAAAAATCTAAGATAATAGTATGCAGCATGGCGTGCTACATCATAAATATTATTTATTTCGCGACATGTTATATGTCATTTTGAGTGTTTTAATTTGGTTCACAATACTTATCACTTTAAAGAATCAATATAATTCTACTTGCTTTTTTAGAATAATTATCATCATTTATTGGTATCTTACATAAGTATTTATATATTATAGTGTTCACAACTACATTCTAATTCTTTTAACTAATAAAAGATATTTTTGTCAAAAAATTCATTTATTATAATAATTTTGTTGATATTTAAAAAATTTATTAAACTAAAAAGACAAATAATAATACATGAGAAAGGAAGTATAATTATTTTAAGGTTAAAATATTTTTTAAGTCTTTATAATTTTATTTATTTTACTTTTTAATATTTATACTTCAAAATAACTTTTTTTAGTTGTTACACTATATTTTTCAATCGTTTTTAATTTTTATGATTTAAGATAGTATTAATTTTGTGTATCTAATATCAAATTTATTTTGTTAGATTTATTTTAAATTAAGTTTCTCAACATTTTGTATTTCATTTGTAGTGTTTATTAAGATACATTTTTTTTTTATTTTCAAAAAATTTAAAAATTTTAAATTATCACATAAAATAGATAACATTACAAAAAAATAACAATAAAAATTAAAAGAAATAAATAAGTACAAGTATAACATTAAAAAGATTTATATTAAATTATACAAACTTAAAAAACTTAAAAATAAATGTAGAAACTAAAAAAATTATTTTAAAAGAGACTAAAAAATAAAATAAATAAAATTATAAAAAAATATTTTAATCCTACTCAATAATTTTATTTTGGTCATGATTTCTAGTCAATAAAGTGGACATTCAAATAGCTATTTTCAAAATAGAAGTCAAGATTTTTGCGTAGTAGTCTCGGTCGATAGTGTTTTATCTGACATTTTTTAGAGTTTAAAATTAATTTTAAAAAGAAAACTTTAAATTTTATATTAAAGTATTTTAATAATCCTATACTTTTTAAAAATATTAAAGTTACTGTTATATTTCAATATCTTAATTACATTTTCTTGGATATAGATATTCAAAATAAAAGGATATATAATTTTTTAGGTTTTTTACTGAAAATTTATTTTTAAAGCTCATTCTTAATTAATGCTATTTAATCTAACTCTTCTCTTAAAAATAATAATAATAATAAATAAATAAAACACCTCAAATAAGTGAAGTCAAATAAAAAAAAATACTGTTTCTGTTATAATTTGAAGACAGAAAAAAAATGCACGTAAAAGAATTTAGATCAAACTTGTGTACTCAAAGAGATATAGCTTATATACAATTTAGTTTATATACTTTAAAGAGTAATCATTTGTTTTTATTACTTTTTAAATACCTCTTTCAACTCTAATGTTTACTAAACATGCTAATAAAAGAGGACAAGACAGGATTATTATCCAGTGATCGCATATTATAATTATTAATTATTTAACAAAAAAAAAAAAACTTTTGTGAAGCAGATCTTATCAAAACCAAGGGAATATTCTTCTGATTTTGTCCTTATTAGGTCGAAAATTTCCCATTTGATCTCAGGTGTTAGTTTTATTGTTAGAGAGATTGGAAAGGAACAAAATTGTCTTCTCACATCAAAAGTACGCATTCCGTGTTGGGCCCCACTGGTTTTGGGAAGTATAAAGTCACCCGCAGTCACCCATTCAAAGAAAAAAAAATAAAACTAAAATGCTGATTGTGACCGATAGGGTCACCGAATGTTGCTGTGACGTGGCGTTAGCACTTAGAGCATTGCAATGGAATCCCTAAGGCACATCATTGTGGTATTAGCTTTGTCTCGAGTTGTTTAAATTTTAGCAAAGTTGATTATAGAAGCAACTCTGCTAAAATTTAAGCAACCCATAAAATGAGTCAGAACTAATGTGACAGTGATGTCAGTTCTGACTCATTTTATGGGTTGCTTAAATTTTAGCAGAGTTGCTTCTATAATCAACTTTGCTAAAATTTAAACAACTCGAGACAAAGCTAATACCACAATGATGTGCCTTAGGGATTCCATTGCAATGCTCTAAGTGCTAACGCCACGTCACAGCAACATTCGGTGACCCTATCGGTCACAATCAGCATTTTAGTTTTATTTTTTTTTCTTTGAATGGGTGACTGCGGGTGACTTTATACTTCCCAAAACCAGTGGGGCCCAACACGGAATGCGTACTTTTGATGTGAGAAGACAATTTTGTTCCTTTCCAATCTCTCTAACAATAAAACTAACACCTGAGATCAAATGGGAAATTTTCGACCTAATAAGGACAAAATCAGAAGAATATTCCCTTGGTTTTGATAAGATCTGCTTCACAAAAGTTTTTTTTTTCCTTTTTATAAATATAAAAAAAAGTAGTGCAACACATATTTTTATTCCATCAAAATAAAAACAATATTATAATACTTACACACTTTGAGTTAGAATCCCTTGATAATAATATTGGTAAAATGTAACATATTTGGTTAGTCATGAAAAAAAATATGAACAATAAATTAAAAAAGAAGTTAAACTATATTTTTTCTCTTTATAATACTAAATATGTAATTGTGATCTTTTTATTTTCAATTTTATAATTTTAATTTATTAATTTTATAAATTTTGTCATTTTGATATTTTCATTAAATATTAATTTGATAGTTAAAATTTTATTGATAGTTTTAATTGTGATATTAGGCAAACGACATTTTATTTTCATAAAAATGAGAATTAAAAGTAAAATTTGTTCTATATATTATTAAATATTAATTTTATATTATTTATTTAAAGTTGTCAACATTACAATTTTGACTATCAACATGTAACATGTATGTATGTTTAATGAAGAAACAAAAATTGAAAATTTTATAAGTGAGTAATTATAAATCTTACCTCGAATTTGAGTTCATGATAAAATATATATATATATATATATATATTTTTTTTTATGTTTATGAATATAAAAATTAACTAAAAAATAGAGACTAGA